ACAAAGAATATAAAAGAAGTTTATGGAAATGTTTTGAACGTTCGTAAGTGTCGACGATGGTTCAGCAAATTTCATTCAGGTAACTTTAGCCTTAAAAACTGTGATCGCAAGTGACGACATGTTGGAATTGATGTTGATGCTCTGAAGATGCTTGTTGGGTCGTCTAACCCAAGGCAATACACTCGTGAAATGGCCCTAAAATTGCATGTGTCTCATGAAACAATACGTAAACATCTAAGGAATATGGGAAACTCCCTAAAGAAGATACTTGGGTGTCTCACGAACTCTCCGATGATAATCGTTTCCAAGGTGTGAACGTTGCTTCATCTCTTCTGACGTGTATTGCGCCTGAACCATTTTTGGACAGAATTGTCACCGGTGATGAAAAATTGAGTGGGCAAATAAATGTCAGATGGGTTTTAATTATAATAAATGCAAGATAATGCATATGGGTTATGATAACTTGAATTATAAGTAAAATTTGGATGGGAATAACTTTAATCCATCTAGTGTCATGAGAGTAAGGGATATTGGTGTAATGGTTGATCACTCTCTTAAGTAATCCAAGAACTGTGATGTTGCTTGTGGTAGGGCAAATATGACTTTAGGTTGTATCTACAGGAATATTGAATACAAGTCTAAAGAGGTTATAGTTTCGCTGTACAGGTCACTGGTTAGGCCACATTTGGAATATTGTATTCATGGGCTCCTTACCTTAGGAAGGGCGTTGAATTGTTGAAAAAGGTTCAGAGGAGGGTTACTAAAATGGTGCCTGGCATGGAGGGTTTGTCATATGAGGAGAGATTAAGATCTTTGAAATTATTTTTTCTTAAAATAGAAGAGTTAGAGGGTATCTGATTAAGATGTTTAATTTTGTAAAGGGAATTTATATTGTTGATGCATCATCTTTTTCATACTTAACGGCGAAAATAGTAGGACTAGGGGACACAAATATAAATTTTTGGCAGGGTAGAAGTCATCGTCAGCTAAGACAGTTTCATTTTTTTAACATGGTGGTTGACCTCTGGAATGGGTTACCTTCGAATGTTGTGGAGGCAGTAAATTTAAGTGAGAATTAAGGGAAAACTGGCTAACTATATGAATGAAAAGGATTGGCTGTAAGATTTTTAAAAAATATATAATAGTTTAATTTAGAGGATTGGACAGCCGAGATAGACTAATAGGTTCCTAAACATTATGGTATGTTGCCCCTCCCCCCCAGTGGCACAGCCGTATGTCTGTGGACTTACAACGCTACAATCCGGGTTTCGATACCCGAGGTGGGCAGAGCATAAACAGCCTTTTGTGTAGCTTTGTGCTTAACTACAAACAAACTTAAATTGTTTTGTTGTTACCGTTATAACTGTTGGAACGTGAATACCGTTGTACTTGGAACGTGAACACCGTTGTACGTGATTTTAAAGTTACTATTTCCTTAGTAAATTAGTAAATTCGTAAATATATTATTTGATTCATCAATTTTTATTGCAACTTTTCTTGTTAGCTGCACATAACGCCTTCTATACCTTCTTTACTTAATTTGTATTAGATCGTCAAGACATTAATGTCGCTTTTTTAGATGAAAAAAGAACAACGTATATATCAAAAGAAAAAATTTATTAAATAAAATAGTCTTCATTCTTATCGATGATGCTTTTCCATCTTACAGTCAGGTTGTTAATGCATTGATCAAAGAAATAATTTGGCTTTGAAGCAAAAAACATGTCGATGTCCTTTTTAACACCTTCCACATTTGCATACGTTTTCCCATTAAGATGGTGGTGCAGCGAACAAAAAAGATGGCAATCTGATGATGCCATATCTGGAGAATATGGTGGGTGGGGTAGAACTTCCCAACCCAACTCCATAATCTTGTGTTGCGTCAAACGTGCCACATGTGAACGTGCATTGTCGTGGAGAAGAAGAACACATTTACGACTGACGTGTGAAGGGCGTTTCTGATGAAGGGCTTGATTTAAACGTTCCAGTTGCTGACTATAGATCCTTGCATTGACAGTTCGCTGTGGATTGAGAATTTCGAAATGAATTACTCCTTTGATGTCCCACCAAATGCAAAGCATCATTTTCTACGGATGGAGTCCAGGTTTTGGAGTCGGGAGTGGTTTTTGTCTAGGACTGATCCATTGTTTTTGGTGTTTAATATTCGCATAGAGAATCCCTAAATGATCTAAATCCTTTTGTAAAGCAGCAGCATCCTCCAGTTGAAAGTCATATCCCAGCTGTCGTAAACAGGTGAGAATCCACGAAACCAAAGGTCAGTGACAAAAACCGTACACATAATTAAGAAGAATCTAGTCCGGAAACAAGGCCAATCAGGTATAGGATAACAAAAATAAAGTTTCCAGTCGCATACCTCAAGTAGTTTTAATATAAAATAGGTATTCATGAGATTCTATAAAAATGCATACTGTTGAAGTCGCCTAAGGATTTCTGGGAGAAACTGTTGAAACTGGCGCTGGGAGGAGTGTGTGCGTTGTACATGATATCCTTACAACGGAGACTTTTGCAGTTGAAATTATGCTACAGAGCTATTGTCAAGACGGGAATGAGGCTCCAGAATTGTTTTAGCATAAAACGTACTCAACCATCTTTGTCTTTCTCTAAATATTTATAGTAAATTGTTTCTAACTATTTCTCTGTTTATGCTTTCTATCTTTATATTCTTTTTACATGCTATCAGCCACATAAAGTTATTATGTTAGTGGCGTCAAAGATGAGATATAAATAACAGCTTTCTGAAGGAATTGTTAATATAAAAATATAACCACAAGTCTAATGTTTTTTTATCATCAGTAAAATCATTTATTGACTTTCTGTGTATATGAGGGACAAGGAAGACTTACATAAGTGAGGAATAAACACATAAATAGCGATCCATCTAACATCTATCGAAGGCCTTTGATGTTTACATAGAATAAATGCTGTAACATTTCGAATTTCTATGGAGGTGTAAAAAATAAATTGTTTTCCTGTTTGTAAACTATAAATGGTACTGCAATTCACAGAACGTCTTCGATTTGTAGCTAACAATTTGCTTCCTGCTTCCTAATTACCTAATTTGATTCTAATGTTTGTCCCATCAGGGAAGAATGCTCTAATATATATAGTTTAGATCACTGACTAACCCACTTGATTATTAGAATAACCTGATAACATTTGAAGAACAGCAGTAGTGTTATTTAGATATATGTATGTATATACATATATGTTGACGACGGTGCATATTGACAATAGCCCTGCCGCTTAATTTCCATTGCGGGAAGGCTCCGTTGTTTAGATGTCGTATCCAAAGTGCACCTATCCTCCTTATTTGCTTTCCATAATCCATCTACTGTACGAGGACAACGGTTTTTCAATACCCCTTTTGATAGTTTGATCACACATAAATCCACAAGCGCTGGATCCGGCGACTTGACTGGGATATCTTCATGTGGAATAGCACGAATACCCGTTTCATTCTCTAGCTGCTTGAGGTATGTCATGGTTGAACAGATATTTCTTGGAAGCAACCTGTGCACATGTTACTTGTGTTGCTTTCCAGACGCAGATCCTTATTGATTATGTTACTTGGGGCACTAATTTATCACTAATCTTTATGTTTATGTATTCTTACCTGTTACAAGACGCCACACTTTGTTCAGCGCAGCTTGGATATGACTTTTTACATGTTTCTTTCTAGGTGATCCTGATATTCCAGGTTGATCCATATTCCTTTGTTTTCCAATGTCTTTCAATACAAGAAATATCCCTGGCTTGTAAATTCTAAATCCTCATTTTAACGAACACATCTTTGTGCAGTAAGTGTATGAATATTTTTCGTGTGAATGGTCTGTTACAGTATAGGTTACTCCTTATGTAGATGAGGGCAAATGTGTAGATCTGGTATATCTGGATTTTCAGAAAGGCCTTTAACAAGGTGTCACATAAAAGGTTTCTAAAAATTTTTCTCTATAGATGTGGGGCTTAAGTTAGCTAATTGGATAGAAGAGTGGCTGGATGTAAGAAAGCAGAGGATCATTATAAATGGAGTTCAGTCAAACTGGATTAATGCCACAAATGGGGTACCTTAGGGATCAGTCTTAGGACCTTTGTTCTTTTTGATTTACATCAGTGACATAGATAAAGGAATGGCCAATAAATTACTTAAATCTGCTGATGATATTAAGGTCTTGGGTGTTGCTAGCTGTGAATTTGTTCCAAGTTGGTCCAT